CTCTTTCCCAAAGATCTTCCTGATAATACATGGATTACCTGAATGCCACCAAAAGCCTAAATCCTTCAGAGACCCTTTCTGTGGTAACAATTCATTGAAATTTATACAAGTTAAATATAATTATACAACTGAGATTTATGTGTTTAAACAGTGACACTTTAAAAAATTATGGGTGGCATATTCACATGAGATGATGCCACCATAAAAGTTAATTATTCTATAGTTTTGATAGACAGACAGATTTTTATTTATTTAAGACTTCATGCCTTTTTGTAAATCCTAGCTGGTGCCAATTCAGATTAAGTAAGATACTAACCTGCCATTTAAACCTCTGCTGATGGTTCTTAACCATCCAAGTTTTCCTATTTAACATCCAAGTTTCCCTATTTCTAGGGAAATGTAAACAATAACCTGAGATGAAAATAATATCACGAATGGCATTCTTTCCTTTAATACTTATTTACTGAGCTTCTGCTCTGTAAAAAGTACTATTTGGAAAGAAAGAGAGAGAGAGAGAGAGAGAGAAAGAGAGAAAGAGAAAGAAAGAGAGAAAGAAAGAAAGAAAGAAAGAGAGAGAGAGAAAGAAAGAAAGAAAGAGAGAGAGAGAAAGAAAGAAAGAAAGAAAGAGAGAGAGAGAAAGAAAGAAAGAAAGAAAGAGAGAGAGAGAAAGAAAGAGAGAAAGAGAGAGAGAAAGAAAGAAAGAGAAAGAAAGAAAGAGAGAGAGAGAAAGAGAGAAAGAAAGAAAGAGAGAAAGAAAGAAAGAGAGAAAGAAAGAGAGAGAGAGACAAAGAAAGAAAGAAAGAAAGACAGAAAGAAAGAAAAAGGAAAAAGTCTGACCACAGACCTTCAAGATGCTTACAGTAAAGAAAATCAGGCCATAAAACAGGGTTCCAGGGCATTCCAGGGGGAGATGTACAATGACTGTTGGCGCTTGAGGAAGGGAAAGAGTGAGCCTGATAGCACAATCAGTACCTCAGTGGTATTGGTGTGTACGCAGCCACAGGGAAAGGCAAGACGTGCCTGGAAAAGTGGCCTGGGGCCAGGTCTCGGTTGCTGGATTCAGCTGGGGAGGTTTGGGCTTATCCAGTAGACAATAAGACATCACTTAAAGCTTTCTAGCAGGTTATAGCTAAAAACTAGAATCTAGGCTCCAGAAATAGCAAGATGACTGAATGCAGAGGCAGTATGAGGGTAGAACTGGCAAAATGTGGTCACTAACTATAGAGCAGGATGGGCAGGGGTGTGAGGAGTGGTTTCCAGGAGGACCAGGAAAAGAATTCGGTCAAGAGCCCCTCCCCTCAGTCCTCTTTCTTGCCTGCCTTGCTCCTCCACACTCCCACTTCCATTAGTAGCTCACTCCCTCTTTATTTTCTCAGGTCTGAAGTTCTGAGCAAGGCTGCTTGAGAGGAGGTACAACCACCGACACTTGCAATTTGATAGTGTTTGTGTCAAAGATCTACAAACACTTCCAAGGAGTAGGAATAATTGCATCCCATTTTATAATAGCAAACTAAGAGACAAAGAAGGGAGAGGGCAAATCACCTCAAGTGAATTCAATTACTGAAGTGTACAATATAAAACTGACCTATAATCCCTAAACAACCACCAGAGCTATCCTCAGCCCCACAGCAGATTATGTATGTTTTGTTTTTGACCTTCATTGAAGTACTTAGCAGAGGACCCCTTACATTAAGTTATTTATGTTTATCCCACCTGAGGTGGTCACACATCCTGGTGAGTAGGAGCTTTGTCTTACTTGCCTTAAATTCCTCTAAAAGACCTATAAACTGCCTCAAACTCAAAAAGCACTAGATCAGTGTTCTGTCGAATTGAATGTGTATGAAGAGTCTTAGGTACAGCTCCCACAGCTGGGCACAGGTGGGACTGCTGGACGGCCGCAGGCAACCAACAGCAGAGCTAGCCATCGAAGAATCGAGGAGGCTCTTCCGGAACAGAAATGTGGGCTCAATTCTACCTCAGCAGTAAGATCAGGTACACAGCCAGAGGCTCTCAACACAAGCAGCAAAGGACAAGCGCATATTTGTTTATGCGCTATCATTTTCAATATGGTGAATTCAAAAAGAACACAGTTTCTCAGATATAATTCCTTCTGCCACAGTAAGAAAGCCATCTCTTTGGGACAGAGCAAAAGAAAACCTATATCATGACATCTGAACAGTGCTATCAAGAGACAATTTATATACCACAACTATAGTTGGGATGGATGAGACAAAGATAATTTAAGCTCATGCTTTCATCACTGAAAAGTACACGTGTAGGACATGCGTAGCCTTGCTAATGGGGCTGCAGGGAACTCAGGGTTCCACTTATTAAAATACAGAACTGGTCATCTGGAGACTCTACAAGATAGCAGGGTAAAATGAAACCATGGCCACACTGTCCCTGAGGGTGTGATTAAGGGCTCTTTTAATTAGACAGCTCTTTTCTGATCTTAGACTCTCACAGAATACCATAGTAAGGCGCACATCTTCAAACGGGAATTTTAAAGTTTCATCCTGCCTTTCTTTTTACTTCTTGATTGAAGAGGAAGATAGGATGGTCTATGACAATTTCAAGAGAGCAACTCAAGGCAAGCCAATTTAAAAAGAGAAGTGACAGATGAAAAAAAGGTAGAAAAGAAAGCTATGCTAGCTATGGCTGGTCATTCTCTTGGCCATGGATGCCAGTTATGAGCTGCAGCAACTGTCTCTGTCACTTCTAACTCCGCTCAACCCACCTTTAATCCATCTAAGCCTGGAACCCAAGAGGGGCAAGCCTGGCTATTCAACTTTTCAACTGCCGGGTTAAAAAAGAAACATGCCCTCCAGCAATCTCCTCTACTGGCCTTAAGAATGTAACCTGCTATGTTTCACACACACAGATAAGCCTCCTGAGGGCAACATCAGAGCTTCATTAGCCTTGCTTCTATTCAGTTTTCCATAGTTGTTAATGAGTTTGAACCAGTCCACTTCCTTCCCAGATTCTTCAGGGGCTCAAGGCCACACAAAAGAATGTTAATATATGAAGGTATCTCCAACCCATATGTAAGACCAGTATTATCCTAATAATAAAACCATACAAAACATCACAGAAAAGGAAAATTACAGACCAATAACTTATGAATATATACACAAAATCTCCATCACAATACTAGCAGGCTAAGTTCATAGCATATAAAAAGCATAACCAAGTGAGATGTATCCCAGGAAAGCAAGGTTGGTTCAACATCCAAAAATCAATGAACATAATGTACCATATGAATAGGATAAATGATAAAGAAAAAAACCAGATGATCATCTCAATAAAGACACACAAATAAGTATTTAATAAAATTCTACACATTTTCATAAAAAAACATTCAGCAAACTAGGAACAGAAGGGAACTTCTTCAACCTGATAAAAGACATCTATGAAAAACCCATAGCTAACATTCTCAATGCCAAAGAATGCTTTCCCCTAAAAATTTTAGGAAGAAGACAAAGATCCACTCTTACCACTTCTATTCAGTACTATACTGGAAGCTCTAGCCAGGGCAACTATGTTAAGAGAATGAAATAAAAAACATCCAGACTGGAAAGGAGAAAGTAAAACTACCTCTATTTGTAGGTAATGTGATCGTATACACAAAAAAATCTTAAGCAATCCACTAAAAAACTATTAGAGCTAACAAATGAGCTCATCGAGATTGCAAGATACAAGATCAATATACAAAAATCAATTCTATTTCTCTATATAGGTAATGAACAATCCAAAAATGAAAAATCATATGAAAAATCAATGAAAAATGAAATTAAGAAAACAATCTCATTTATAATAGCATCAAAAAAAAAAAACTTAGGAATGAATTCAGCAAAAGATATACAAAATGTACTTGTAATAAAACTATAAAATACTACTGGAATAAATTAAAGATAACTTAAATGTAGATATTAAAAGTTGAGAAACTTAATATTAAGATGGCAATTGTTCACAAATTGATCTACAGATTCAACACAATCCCTATCAAAGTCCCAGTGGGCTTCTTTGCAAAAATTGATAAGCTAATCCAAAATTTCATGTGGAAATGTAATGGTTCCAAAATAGCCAAAATAATCTCGGGGAAAAAATACAAAAAGAAAGCTGGAGAGCTTGCATTTCTTATTCTTAAAACTTATTACAAAGCTACAGTAATCAAGACAGTATGGTACTGGCATAAGGACAGACATACAGATCAGTGGAATAGAACTAAGAGTCCAAAAATAATCCTCACATATACCATCAATTAATTTTCAACAAGGGTGCCAAAACAATTTAGTGGAGAAAGATTAGTCTTTTCAACGAACAATGATGGCACAACTGGATAGCCACAGCAAAAGAATGCAGCTGGACGCCTACACCACACCATTAACAAAAATTAACTCAAAATATACCAAAGATGTCCATGTAAGAGAAAAAACTATAGAACTCTTAAAAGAAACAAGATGTAAATCTTTGTGATTTTATACTAGACAACGGTTTCTTAGACATGACAACAAAAGCAAAAACAACACAAGTAATAGATAAACTGGACTTCATCAAAATTTTTGTTTTGAAGAGTATCTTCAAAGGAATGAAGAAACAATCCACAGAATGAGAAAAAATGTTTGCAAATTTGTATCTGGTAAGAAACTTGTAGCTGGAATATATAAAAATGATTATAAATCAATAATTAAAAAAAGCCAGTCACAAAGGACCACATATTGTATGATACCATTATACAAAATGTTAGAATAGGCAAATCCATGAAGATTGAAAGCAGACTGAAAGTAGAATAGTGGTTGCCTTGGGCTGGGCAGACTGAGGGGAAATGGAGAATATGGGGTTCTTTTGGGGATGCTGAAAACATTTTAAAATTAAGTAGTGATCATGACTGCACCACTCTGTGAACATTCTAAAAACCATTGAATAGTACACTTTAAGTCGCTGACTTGTATGATACGTGAATGATATCTCAATAAAGCTGTTAACAAAAGCTACTTTACCTTGAGGGAGTTGGGTCATCTTGGCCAAGGCGTGACATAATATTTATTAAGGTGTTAATTCCTATTTAAAAAAATAATAAACAAGGAAATACTGTTAGAAGCATTCTAGGATCACGACACAATACGTAGAAAGACAATTATCTATCTTACCCCAATGTGATTTCAAAAGGTTTGATATCTGCACGTCTACAAGTTTGATCAACTTAGTTACTTAAAACACTTGATAGGAGCAAAAAATTGTCCTAAAAAATTCATCCATCCTTACAATAATGCTCAAAGCGAATGCTGTTATGTATGGGTCAGAAAGCACTACAAAATGAGAGTATACAACAGTCACCAGGAAACTCTTCCTGGTGGGGATTTAATTTACAATAGGGATCATAAGCCAAAACACAAGATTTAGAATCCAAACATACCTTTTTTCCTCATATGCATGTGGTGAACTTTTCTATCTCCATATTTGGGCTGCCGAATTCCACAGTTAGACAAAGAATTTCGGGCATGATCAGGATTCATTCCAAAATTTAAGTGATGACTCGGATGAGTCATGGCCAGCTAAAATTTCAACAAAATAAATTTAGTGTTAAACACCCAGCATAGAAGTGCCATCTTTATATCATCTCAAATGAAATAGGAAAGAGATCTATTTATCCAGTCAAATTTGCCCTGATCTTTCCATCTTATCTTCTCCAGGGTCAAATTTCCAGAGCTCTGGTGCAAGCCCTTTTCTAAAAAGAAACCTAAAAATCCACATGTTTCAAAGGAGAATTAGAATAGTCATCACCTGGAAAGAAGAGCCATAAAAAAGGTAAGGCTTAAAGAAGGGACTCAGGTTTGACAGGCAAATTTTAGCTTTAGTCTACTTCTTTAGGGACAGTGTCAAAAATAAATAAATAAATAAAAAGTGAGAAACTAAGTGTCTGAAAGTGGCAACCAGAGTAGAGTAATGGAGAGAGCTGTGTTACTAAACATCCTCATCATCTCGCAGAATGGAGAATTTCAATGTTCCATTTGTAACCTGCAAGATGAATTACTCCTATTTTGCTATCATGTGAGTGTACAGGAGAGTAATTCTTACCTGTAATAGACAACGATCTTGGAAAGTATATCCTATCAACTTGTCTAGATGCATTAGACATTGGTGGTAGCGGATATGATGGGTCAAAACAGGCAACATCATTGCATGCTAGGAAAAAAATTTCAGGATGTTCACCTCTATAAAAACTTACAATAATGCTTCATTTAATTTACAACAAACAAGAACCATTTTTCCCATCCCAAATTTCAACTGCCAAAGTCTTAAAACAGTTTACTGGCCGCGTGGCATCCTTGCAAATCCCCTCTTGAGGGATGGTGGGTATGAGTTGCTAAGGGTATAGTCTCTGGAATCACAATGCCTGGGTCTGATTCCTGCCTCACTTATTCACTGTGGGACTTGGTGGGGGAATTATCTGACCTCTCTCCCTGTAGGTGGATTATCTCTACCTACAGAATGGAGATAATCAGGAGAGCTACTTCCAAGGTGGGAGTGGTTAAAAGGACTAAATGAGCAAATACAAAAAACTGCTTAGTACAAGGCCTCTTAGCCCTCACTCAAGTAGGGATAGCCCTGCTTCATCAGCACTCAGCAGGGTAACCTCAACGAAGCCAGCAGAATTTCTGTGCCTCCTTGTCTATCTTTAATGCTAAGAGAACGGACTAGAACTCAAATTCTGAAACTTTGTCAGGGTCAAGACATTTTTGAGAATCTAAGGAAAATTACTCTTTCCCAGAAAAATGCCTATGTGCACAAACATGCAAAAAACTGTAGGCAATTTTAGTGGGTTCATAGACCCTTTAGGCCCATCACTATCCTCCAGGTAAGAACTTCTCAGCCAGATGATCTCAAAAGGCCATTCTAGGTTTAATACTTAATGATTTAATATTCCAAGGACAACTTTCATAAAACCACCAATACAGTTAAGTCACCTGAGGACACAGAACTTTTACTTTTGTTTCAATCACTTTCCACTTGGCTAAAGATTCCTTATTGGGAGATAATTTCATAAAAGGCACAGCTTTTTCTTTTTTTTAATTACACTTCCCTAGAACTCAAGAGAAAGAAGGAATCATTCTTATTCATCAGAAACTAGAGGCTGGGCACAGCCCACAGAATGACTGACATATGCTTTACATCATTTTAGTTTTTGAAATATTTTCAGATGGCATTGTTTAAAAATACACGAAAATGGATTTGTTTGAAACGGCAGATATCAGTTTCCCGTATTAACTTATAAGGAAAGATTCGTGCTCCCAAGTAGGAATTCCAATCAATAGGAAGTCCTTCTTTCCAGTTCAATTCAATAAATACATACTGAGCACCTCTATGTGCAAGGCTTACACAGCTGTGGAAGAGAAAAACAGTAAGGACATGTTCTTTGCCCTCAAGAGCTTCCCAGAGATATGCCATTATGATCTGAATTACTGGCATTTTGTCCACTTTGTTTTTATAAGTGCTGCATTAAAAAACACAATAATATGGAAACAAAATGTGTGGCCAAAGTATAATACCACTTTCCAAGCATTTAAATTGCAGAAAGCTCAAGGGAGTTGATGCTAAAATCTCAAGGTAGAAGGGTCATGAAGACTACGCAGTGCATCTATCTTTCTGAAGTATGAACCAAACTGGTGAATTGTGTATTTTTTTAATACCTCCAGGGAGGGATGGATCATCACCTGTCAAGAAAATGACACCCTCTTCAGGTTTTATGCTAAGTGAAATAAGTCAATCAGAGAAAGACAAATACCATATGATCTCACTTATATGTAAAATCTAAAAAACAAAACAAACAAAAAACAGAAATGAACAAACAAAATAAAACAAACAATACAGAGAACAAACTGGTGGTTGCCAGAGGGAAGCGGAGTGTGAACAGACAAAACAGGTGAAAGAGATTAAAAGGTACAAACTTTCAGTTATAAAATATGTAAGTCACAGTGATGAAAAGGAAGGAATTGGAAATATAGTCAATAATGTTGTAATAGTGTATGGTGACAGATGGTGACTACAGTTACCATGGTGAGCACTACATAATGTATAGAAGTGTTGAATCACTATGTTGTGCAGCTAAAATTAATATAACATTGTATGTCAACTATACTTAATAAATTTTTTTAAGATTTTTTATTTATTTGAGAGAGAGAGAGCAGGAGTGGTGGGGAGAGGCAGAGGGAGAAGCAGACTCCCTGCCGAGCAGGGAGCCCAACGCAGGGCTCCATCCCAGGACCCTGGGATCACAACCTGAGCTGAGGGCAGACACCTAACCGACTGAGCCACCCAGGCGCCCCCTTAATATTTTTTTTTTTTTAAAAAGGAAAGAACACCCTCTTTAGGGTACTCTGATGAGTACTAATTAACATTTAGCCCAAATCTCTCTTTTGAAGGTTTATCCCTTTGAACCTAGCTGTATCCCTGGAGACAAACAAAATACATGTAACGGTAACATTTCCACATCTTCTCTTTGTTAACCTAAGTCTTATTTCCTTTAACCTTCACTCATGTGAAACAGCTTTGAGTCCCTACACTATGTCCTCTAAACTTGCTCCAAAAAGAACCAGTTTCTCTTTCCAGGTAAGTCTATTACTTGTGAATACCACTAAAAGATATATATGACCCATGTCCACAAAGTCTCAATGTTATCTATAAGACTGTTAAAATCTCTAGCTCAGTTTTTTAATTTTTTTTTTTAAGATTTTATTTATTTATTTGACAGAGAGAGAGAGAACACAAGTAGGCAGAGCAGCAGGCAGAGATAAAGGAAGAAGCAGGCTCCCTGCCGAGCAGGGAGCCCCATGTGGGGCTCGATCCCAGGAGTCTGGGATCATGACCTGAGCCAAAGGCAGACATTTAACCGACTGAGCCACCCAGACACCCATAGCTCAAGCTCAGTTTTTTTAAATTCTCAATCTTTGCAATGTTGAAATACATGTAATCAACGAGCATCTCCCCCCAACCCGCCAATTCAGGTCTGGCGAACGTTTTCATTAAAAAAAGCTCCTTTAAAGATTGTACGGAAATGGTTGTATGTGTAGTTTTTGAAGCTATTTAAATTCTCTCAGAAAAACTGAGTAACTAGAATAGCAAAACAGACCTGTAAACAATATGAACAATAAAAACTAGACAAAAAGGTACCCTCATGAACACCTGAATAAGACAAAGACCTAGGAGGTCTCAGCATCTATGAGAGAGAAAAGACAGAGAGAGCAGCAGGGCTTCTGACAGCCCTGAGAATGCAAGAAACCCCAAATTAACATATATTCATCGAAAATGTGACCAAAACTGGAGAGGGCTCTGCAGATTCCAATCTACTGGGTGAGTACGAGAGGACAGTGTAATGGTGCCAGAGTGCCGAGGCCCCATCAATGCTCAAAGAAAAACTGAACTTCCCTTCCAGGGTAAAGCCCCATGGTGTGAAGAAAGTGCTGGGGCTAAAAGCCACATTTAGCAGAAGAGGAACAATAAAGGGCAAAAGAAAGAAAGAATCCAGAGGGAAGGGGAGCAGTGGGGGCAGGACTCAGGTATTATAAGGCCATGTTTTTTTTTTTATCACTTTGCAGAAGGAGGGGCTAAGTTGGCTTATACCTCCTTCCTGAAAGTACAGGAAAATATTTCACTTACTTATTTAACATTATTTAACCTGAAGAGCAACAGAAAAGAATCATGATCAAATACCACCCAAGGATTTTATCAGAAAATAGAGAAAAGGAATAGAATAAGATTCCTCAGATAATTAAAAAAAAAAAGCCAGAAAAACATGCCAACAAAACAGATGAAAGCTGTGACCTAACATTTCAAAACAAGCTAAACAAAATCAAGAAAGCAACAGGAGCTATAAAAGAAAACTACAAATAAATATTAGAGTAATTCAGAAATGAAATGACTGGATGAAAGGAAGATTTGAAAAGAAGTGACAAAACTCAGGGAAAAGACATAAAAGGAAATAATCATTTTAAGAACAGAGACTAAACAGAATGAAGACAACAGCAAATTAAACCATAAGTGCTTTGAGAAATAAAAGATAGGAAAAGGAAAAATTTCAGAGAAATAAAAAATCAAAAGAGAGTACGACAGATACAGGAAACAAGCAAAGAAGATACATGATGCATATAACAGGAATCCTTAAAGAAAACCAAAACAACAAGACAGAATCATGAAATGTATAATTCAAGGAAACATTTCTGAGATAATAGACGGCTTGAAAGTACATATTGAATGGGTACACAGTATATATGAAAAATTTAACCAAAAAAGGCTGACAGCAATGCTGTCAGAAAACAATGAGAACGTATTTAAGATGTTGAAGAAAGAAAACATAAACCACAAATTTTATATCCAGGCAGAAAACAAGGAGAATGTATTTGAGATGTTAAAGAAAGAAAACATAAACCACAAATTTTATATCCAGTTTAAGTGGCCTTTATATTTAAAGACAAATGGTTAGGAACATGCAGGACCTCAAGGATCACTGTTTTAATAAGCCCTTCTTAAGGTATCTGCCAGAAATGAGCTCAATCAAAAATAAAGGGAGGTGGTGGGATAAATACTGCCATATAAACTAGCAATTACCTTCAAATATGTTTTTACCTGCAGATAATCGTGAGTCAATATTACAGAAAATGCCTAATACTCTACAGATTAGTACAACTATCAGAAAATGAGGGGACAATGTCAAGTCCATGAAGAGTAGGGACGAGGCTGTTGTGTGTCTCATAGATACTAACTTGCAGCAAAAGGATCATCACTTCAAATTAAATGCTGGATGAGAGGAGCACAAGAAATAGTAAACAGGGGGCGCCTGGGTGGCTCAGTTGGTTAAGCGACTGCCTTCGGCTCAGGTCATGATCCTGGAGTCCCGGGATCGAGTCCCGCATCGGGCTCCCTGCTCAGCGGGGAGTCTGCTTCTCCCTCTGACCCCCCCCCCTCTCATGCTCTCTCTATCTCATTCTCTCTCTCAAATAAATAAATAAAATCTTTAAAAAAAAAAAAAAAAAGAAATAGGAAACAGTAGTCATTTTCAGTAATGGACAATGGGACACACACAAACATAGGAGCGGAGGGAGAAGTTTCATTAGACTACAAAGGTGTTAATATAAAGATAACCATTAGAACAGAATTACAAACGTCCCTAAATACAAAGAGATAAAAAA